GCTATACTCAAAATGCTTAGGTTCAAATTCCAGCTCTGCCACTTTGTAGCTGTGTGATATGAGCTGAGTTAATAACTTTGCCAGTCAACAGTTCTCATCTAAAAAATGGAGATAAAAAATATAATAATGGCATCATATGATTATTGTAGTGAGCACTGAGTAACATATTTAGTATAGCATGTGCTCAAAAACTTTTAGATACTATTAATATTTTACCTTCTATATCCTTTCCTATTTTCATGTACGCTACTAATTCTCTTTTAGTTTTTGAACCAAGAGGTTTTAGAGATTCTCCCTAAGATAACGGCACATTATATAGCAGCAAATGCTTAGTCTTTTTATAATTCCACCATCTCTGATTTTGCTCTTCACATTGCATTTAGATCAGGGGATTTAAACAGGGGTCAATAAACTATAGCCCCAGGGCCAAAATCTATAGCCACATTCTTTGTAGTTTTATCAGAACCTATAGAGTCCTCTTCATTCAGATAATATCCATGGTTGTTTGTGTGTTACAATCACAGAGGGACAGTAAAGACAAACCATGTGGCACACCAAAACCACTAGTATTCACTATCTAGTACTTTCCAGGAAAAAATATGTCAACATCTGAGAGTAATAAGTAGCAGAAAGGTGAAAAGATCTATAGTTAAACAACCACTATTTAAATTTCAACTCTGCCATTGATTTGCATCAGCAAGGTGATCTTGGACCTATCATTTGACATTTCTAACACCTCAGCTATAAAATACAAAGGATCACAAGCCTGTCCTACAAATCTCTGATAAAACTTTTACATAAAGTAAAACCTGGATCTCTTACATTATTGCTTGGATAATACAATTGTCTGAGGCTTTTTGTTTGTTTATGAGCTGATTTTTTTATTATAGTTGGGAGGGCATGCACTCACCAATTCTTCACAGGCACATAGGCACCAATACTATCTTTCACAAATTTCACACATTTTCCTCATCTGCTTGGCCCTGAAGTTTAAGACTTTTAATATTAAGTAATTTATGTAGGGCATTTTACAAAACGTAAAATGCTGCAAAATTTTAGTTACTTCGATTTTAAGGAAAAACAACTGATAAGTGTTTCAGCCACTGGCTAGAAATAAAGGCTTTTCTAGCACTCTTTACTCAAGGGTGAGTTAAACTTTTTATTTTACCCTAAGTACCCCCACCAAGATGTAAGCACCTCAAAATTAAGGTGGTTTTATTATATATGTGTAAAATAAGCTGCTCACTGCTTACCTGAACAATTAACTGTGTAAACCACGTGGGGTCATCTAAAGAGCAAAGGTTATGAGAGTGACTAGGATTACTCTGCTTATTCCTTCCATGAGGACTAGGTGTCACTGTGGTAAGACAACTAACCTCGGAAAGATGGAAAAACACGCCTGCTACTTACTCTGATGACTCTTAATTCAAAACTCCTTACTCCAATCCTATATTTTCCATACTTCACTTAATTATATACTCCCAAGTAATACAGATTCATTTACATGAAACATCATACTCTGTAAGATACCTGGGAGATAATAAATTTTAAATTATCTGTAGTCCTATGAATTTGTTTAATTGGAGTAGTCACAGGATGTTGAAAAGACCCATTCTGAAAGAACAAGTCACCTGATTTGAAAAAAGGAAGAATTATTTTATTATCATGTACAGAGAACTCAGCAAAAGAGTTTTTCAAACTCTATAATGCAACCCAGTAGTGGAATATGAAATTAACTTAGGGTACTTCTTGCAGCATTTGTGGGGAAGGGAATAAGACAGAATGAATAGAACAGAATGGAATGTTCATGCGAATACTTTTCAAGTGAAGTTCTAATTTCAACTTATACACATATATATATGTATGAACATACTTGAAAGAGTTGTTTTCTAAAATTTATTTCTTGTAGATTGTGCAAATAACACTGTTGTAGGAAAGGGGATATGCTTTTTAAAAACAAAATTTCAAAGAGCAGGTCTATATCTCAAATAATGAGCAGGAGTTATATTATGAAGAAGGAAAGATAAATGGTGCTATTAATTTTTCTAGGAAAAATGCAAAAAATAAGAAGTAGTGAAAATGCAGATGTTAGAAGCAGTAGGTAGGAGGGGGAGGAGAAGTTAATTTTAAGTATTATCACAAAACATCCAGAAGATATGCCCTAAGATAACTATGAATAAGAATCTTCATTTAAAAATTAAACTTCAAGATATATTCTATGAACTCTGGGAACTTGCCTGTCTTGTTCAGCACTGTATCCTCAATAACTGTAATAGTGCTTGATAAAAAGCATTCAACTATATGTTTAATTAGTATGCTGTTTAGCATATTACAGGCTGATATTTACACCTGGGTGTTGACAAGATTGCCTACCGAAAACATTTTACCCATTTTAGAGGTCTTCAAAACTGATGAGATCTCTGAATCACCTTTTCCCAAAAATATGCACACATAATCTTAATTTTGCACGTAAGTTCATGAAGTTTACAGACCATATAACATGCCTGCACAGATCAAGAATCTACAGATCTCAAGTTTAATAACCAACCTAATGACATGACATATTAAAAAGAGGGCTACAGAAGGAATCACTGAGGAATCAGGAAAAAAAAAAGAAGCAAGTGGATGGATGTAAGGAACTCAGTAGAGGAAAGATGTGAAAAGTAAGAAAAGAACCTGGAGGAATGTTATTAAGAAAGCATGGAGGAAAAAAGCAAGTTAAGAACTTTTCATAGAGTGATCTACACTAGCAAATGTAGTATAGATGTATAAAACACAAACATTTGAGTTGACATTGGATTTTCTTAGAGACCTTAGAGAAGAGGTTTGGGGTGGAAACCAAATTGTGGTTACTGAGAGAATAAACAAACAAACAAAAAAAGATGAAGCAGGAACAGTGAGCATGAACAAGTGGAATTCTCTTAAACATAATATTAAAATTTTTTTCAACAAATACTCATTTTGTGTCTATTACATGTCAGGCAACTGTGCTAGGTATCCTATCTACATCCTGCTTAACAATATAGTCTCAAGAAATTTGAAAACTCTATTACAACTCTAAATTCTCTTTCCCACATCCAAAGTTCCAATCAATAAATTTCTTTATGTAACAGATGCTTTGAAGTGGCTGAATTAATAAGCCATAAATTCTATATCTCTGTACAGTTTGTTAGAGACTTGGAAAGTGCTAGAACTACTAGACAGGTAATAAATTATCCTATTACAAGAATTACATTATTCTTTCAACTAACCAATTCATGTTATTCAATGGAATCCCTAAGGACACACCCCTGACACTACTCCCCTCCAAATCTCTCTGAGACCTTTCATTGACCTCATACATCCTTAAAAAATCTGTTATTCTGAGTCTCTGAAATAAAAATCTAGAAAACTCATTTCTTAAAATTCCCTTAAAACAGTTTTAATTCTGAAAAAGTCTAAACCTTCATTGAACAAGTGAACAAACCATATACTATTAGTTGAGTTGCCTAAGTTCACCTAAGATACTAAAGAAATATATCCAACACTAAAAAAATGATTCTTAGTTATATTTTGGGACAATCTGTTAATGTTTATCATTAATCCCATTAATAATTCATTCAGACAATAAACAATCAGAGTTCCTCCCAAATGTCCAACTCTAATGACATGACAGTGAACAAAACTAGACTGGTTACTTTCATTCTAGGTGAGATAAAATTTTAAAACTTAACTGGGTAAGTATTTCAATGGCATGAAAACACATGATCCAGGGGCAAGTTTTGATTTTTTTCTTTATTCTTAATTTTTTTTTTCCTAAATTTTGATAGAGGGATGGGGAAGGGGGTGAGGTTAAGAAGGGCTCTCTGTCGTACGGAACTCCTGAGAAGATAAAGTCTAACAGAGCTAAGAGTGAGCTATACTAAACATACCTTAACAATATCACTTTTGAAAAATTATGAAACATTTGAAAAACTTTTTAAAAATATTAAAGAAAACAGTCACATATTTCCCATCTAGCTGAAAGGATATAACCTAACAAGACTTTTAAAGTTATTCACAGGTTTGTCTTCTACATTAGACTGTGATTCTATGAAGTAGGGACTGTTTTACTTGAAATATGCAAGATCTAACACTAAGCATTTAAGACTTCTGTTTAATATAATGCATTCCTTCAGTACCAGCAGAAATATTCATGTGTCACAAGCCACAAAACCAATATATTATCTATATTATTGAAAGCACTGTAAGTGTAAAGAAATTTTGTCTTTTCCCTTACATGTCTGCAAGTTCATAATACTTAGAAATTTATTCATGATCAAACAGTAAATATAATTTTCAGTCCACATGTCATTAGGCCATTATTTAAGCATCCCACAAAGGCATTCATTGAACAAACTAGCTACTGAAATCTACTGAACTATGTTAAAGGCTGGCAATGTGAATTTCAATAACATAAACTTCATGCTTTAATGAAATTCAAGTTTCTTAAGCAGGTCTCCCACGAAAGTTTCTAAAATGTGTGTGTGGGGGGGGATCTTTCTTGCAGAATGGATTCAATGTTTGGCTGTTTTGGGATTTAAAAACACTTCTGCACAGACTTGAAAGACTTCCAAACACTTGACAACACAAGGCCTTACAGACCCTGTACTTCTTGGCTTCAAAGAAGCTTCAACAATCCACTCTCCCGACCCCTCCACGCCGCCCAGGAACCACAGGAAAAGTGTGACATCCTTAACTCCAAGTCGCTCCGGCCTCATAAATGGAAGCTGCGCCGGGCCGCTGGACTGGCGCGGAGTTAGGGAGGTCAGTCATTCTTTAAACGAACAGCAGGGAATGCCAGAGTCAGTGGCCCGGCCAAGGAAAGGGTCAGCCTCAACCTCTTCCTCAGCTTGGCCCGTCCAGTGAGAGCTCCGGTGCCAAACAAAGACCGGAGAACCCACCTGTCCGAGCGTAGTGGGTGCTTCCGAACGATTCCCCAGAGCTTTGGGTCGTTTTGTGCCCGCCCCGCCCGAAATTACCTTCCCAAGTGACATCGTAAAGCTCTGAAACCTTCGCCATCTTCCTAGAACCTAGAGGCAGCGGGGTAAAAGGGCGGGCAGACGCAGTCACGTGACCTGCGACCGGGCGGTAGTGAATTACGAAGCCATTTCTCATTGGCCGAGAAAGCGGAGTGGGTGGCGTCCGCCGCGCACGTGCACGCAATTCTACGGAAGGGCTTTTGGAAGAAGGGGGCGGAGTTAGCCAGGCCGTGCGCGGTGCGTCGGGAGCCTGCGGAACCCGAGGCGGCCGGCCTGTCGTTGGAACAGATTTGGGGTGAGGTGTCTTATTGACCCTAGATTTTTATCATTTTTATCGGTGGTGCCCACCACTCCCTGTTTTTTTTTTTAATACATGGGCTTATTCATTATCTTCATAGTCCCCAGTAAGTACTTCAGGACTGGTTGCAGTGTTCTGCCCAAATAACCTCTCTCCCCAACTTTTTTCTTTCCTTAATGGTTACTTTTTAAAGTTGAACTAAACAGAAATACTCCAAAAATTTTATTAAGTCTCTTTAAAGGGCTAAATGGGATACTCGCCCTTTACGCTTTATGGTTACATGAATGCTCTCCTACCGACCATATTGCCTGGAATTATGCCTTTCTGCCGCCACTCTAGTTATGAATCTCCTTAAGCAGCCAATGTGTTAGTGCTTGTAAATAATGAATGAAGGCACAAGTGAGACTTTCACAGCTCCTAAACTTTGCTCCACCTGTTTACTGCGAGGGGAAACCCTCTTTTCCAGCCACATTCAGGAACCTTTGGACCTATTCTTGAGCTAAGGAGAAATGTCTGGATTGCAAGCAAGAAATTAGAGGGTCCAAAGCATATATTTAGTATTTTAAACAATAAGAATATTAAATTTTAGCGGGGGATGTAAAGTGAGAAAAGAAGACTTAAAAATTCCTGCAAAACATCCATAGTTAGGGGTTAATGAATAAGATGCAATTAAGATTTGAGAAGGAAAGAAGGAAAAAGGAGTTCTATCCCACAAGCTTAGAGAGTAAGAGTTTATTTTTACCAGCTTTATTGAAATATAGTTGACAAATTAAAACTTGTGTATGTTTAAGGTATAAGATGCTGGATGGTTTGATATAAATAAACATTTTTAAATGATTCACAATCAGATGAATACATCATTTACCTCCCATGGTTATTGTGTGTGTTTGCATATGTATGAATGTGTGTGGGGGGGGGTGAGAATACTTAGTATCTATTCTGTTAACAAATTTCAAGTTTACCATACAGTGTTATTAACTATAGTCATTATACTGTTCATTAGTTCCTCAGAAGTATTCATCTTATAACCAAAAGTTTGTACCCTTTAACCTACATTTCCTCATACCCTGTCCCTGGCAACCTCAGTTTGCTTTTTGTTTGGAAGGAAAAAAAGAACAATTAATGCCATCTGCCACAAAGAAGTCACATAAGGACAGAAAAGACTAGTGAATTTATGGACTTAGATTCTGAATGAGCTTCATTCTCTCCAGACTAAGTAGACTTTTAAAAAGTCCTTCATTCAAACATTAAAATATACTCCCCTCAAAGATTCACATTCTCCTAATGTTCCAATAAAATGATCTGGTGTAATGGGGAGAACAACGACTCACACTTGAACCCAGACCTTACCAGTTAACAGCTGGGTGACTTTCAGCCAGTATCTCTGAGCATCAGAGACACTCATATGTAAAAAGTCAAGAATGTATAAAAAGTTAACAACCTTAAGTTGTTGTCCAGATTAAAAGAATTTTTGCAACTATAGTCTTGTTTCTATAAGTACTATTATATTGTGATGACTCCTAAATTCATAAATCATCCCCAAGCCCAGTTCTATTTGCTTGACATATTCACTTAGATGAACAGCTAATATGCAAGTAGAACTCTAGGTTGCTGCTGCTATCTCTAGCACTCCCACCTCACTTTTCCTCACAGATAAAACCATCTAGTTGTACAAGCTAAAGTTATAGGAGTTATCCTTGATTCCCTTCTTTACTATCCTCTCCATATTCATGCTATCAGCACATTGTATATTTAATTTCCAAAACATTCCCCAAATTATATACCTCTTTTGATCTCCACTAGCTTCCAGCTTAATCCAAGTCATAGCCATCTGTCTCTTGCCTGAATGACTGATATCTCATAACCAACTTTGTTTCATTCTCGCTATGGAAAATCTGTTTTGTGTACAACACCTGTATGTTTAAAGTCCTCAGATGGCTCCTTATGGCAATGAAAATGTGTTCCAAAAGCTTTACTATGATTTATAGGTTCTTATTCAATCTGGCTTGCATGTACCTCCCTATCTCACCTACTGTTCCATCTCTCTTCACTAGTTCCCAGCTATGCTCACCTATTTGCAATTCCTCAAACTTGCTTAGCTCCTATCTGCCTTGGGTCTGGCATTTTCCTAGCTGTTCCCTTTTCCTATATGTTCTTCTCCAGAGCTTTAAGTGATCATCTTCCTTTAGCCATTCCTATCTACTCAGAGAAACCTTTTTTGACCATTCAATAAAAAGTAGTCCCTAGTTAATACCTGTAATTGTTACGACACTTAACACGAGGCCGACTTTGTCATTTTAATCTTGCAGCATCAAGCCTAGAAAAATACCTAGTGCATACATAGTAAATATTTCTTGAATGAATTAATGAAGTAGATAAAATAAATGATGGCTTCTACCAGTGGATATTAAGGATAATATTTCATGATAGTACACACATGAACTCCATTTTGTTAAAAATAAGATGTTTTCTTTTTGTATCTGATGCTTTCCTAAAAATTATAAATTCAACCAATGCAGGGACCATACCAATTCATTTTATATCTCCCAACTTTTTACCATAGTATGTGGCATACAAGAGGTGCTTAATATTTTCACTAAATTGTTGATGTCTAAAATTTTGTTACAGTTTGTGAGGGAGTTGCTCCCATTGGGATAAAGAAGAAAGTATATTTTAAAGATTTTAAGGAATTTTAAAGGTTACAAATAATTGAGGAAATACTTTCTTAATCACGTCAACTAAATGTAGCTAGCTACTATTGTCTGTTAAGCAATAAGCATATGACACTAAGTTAAAAGAAATAATTCAAACTTTTAGGCTAGAAATGATTTTATTTTGGAAATAGACATGATTATTTAGAATAACATTTTTCAAACTTTATTTATTTATTTTTTTGCCTACAGTGCATACTAAAGAGTGCATTTTAGGTTGTCACATGCTGTATGTACATATATTTGAAATTGAAAATTTACAAACTATTACCATTTCTATATATTTTCTATTCAAATTTAGTCAATTCTTTTTCTAAAAATACTGGTGTGATACACCAATGAGGTTATGACCCATATTTTAAAATACACAAATGAACATTTTATGTATTTCCTAATCTCAAAACCAGAAATGAATGATTTGCCCAAGTTCTTGCCACTAGTAGGTAAGATGGGTTATTCATGTGGAGGTGATTTGTTAGATCATAGATGAAATTTGAAATATTTATGAGAAAAATATATTGAAGGGAAATTTTGTCACCAATACTATTCTTCCAAGTGGGAAAAGTGATTATGTCTAATAAAACTTGGCCTTCCTCAGGAACATTCAGGAAAAATTGTTATGTCAGTGACAAAAAATAGTTTATTATAACTGCAAATAAAAAAGAAATCTCTTCTATAAATAAAATTATGACCCTGAAAACATAAACATCTATTGTATTTTTTTAAGCCATCTTTATGGGATGTACTCAGAAACTTTCTTTTTTTTTTTTTTTTGTGGTGCTGGGGATTAGAACACAGGGCCTTGTGATATAAGACAAGCATTCTGCCAACTGAGCTGTATCCCCAGCCCATTTATAGGATGTTCTCAAAGCTAGCTTCTCTGACTACAGAATATTGCCAACAAATCCCAAGGAAATGTCTATTCATCCAAATATTAGGTTATATTAATAGCCACATTATGAATAAAATGTGTCAAATATGATGTGAAGCATTATCTCATTTATTGTGAAATGTGTTTTTTAGGTGAAGCTGTACTCTGATTTGGATTTTTTTCTACCTGGTTATGTTTGAGTGTTAGAATGACAGTAAATCAGAATGAACTGGTATAAGATAGGAATAACTTGGGCATAAGCCCCCATTTTCTTTGAAATGGGATAAACTTTGATTATTTATTGAGCCAAATTGGCCCACAAAGAATTTTAGAATCATCTCTTTTATGGTTTACTTAATTCAATTAATATCTTCAGACATTAAAGAATAAAGCAGCATCTTAAATTTAATAAACTTTATGGCATGTATTCAATGTACATTATTTAACAAGACAGTACAATAGTATTTTAATTGATTTTTGTAATATTTAGAATTTTCCTCAAATCATTTATTTAGAATCTAATGTCTGCTTTGTTCTGTCTTAATCATAGTGAATTAAAGTGCCCCCTGTTATATAGCACAGTTTATAACCTCTATTTGCCATGACAATTATCCATCAAAGTAAATTCTTTTCATTTGAACTCTCATATAAATTTACCACAGCTTTTAAATCATATTATTATTTTGAATTAGTGGATCATAACCATAATCCCTTTTTTTTATTTACAGGAAAATAGTACTTATTTAATCTTCATTCCATGTCAATAGATTTTCACTCTGACATGCCATGGAAAGAAATTTTCTAGTTTTCCTTGGAGATTTATTTACCAAAAGCCAGATTAGTATAAATTGTTTTAGGAATTTATTGGACATTGTTTTTAATTATACTTTTAGTGAATTCAATAATTAATGCGGTCCTCCAGAACAAACACCTATACCCTCTTTGCTGGCTGAACTGTAGCACTTTGGTACTTCTAATTTTTTTGTGTTTGCTGTCATTTGCAATGTGTATATTTTTAAATTTGCCAGCCATTTTATATCTGATTATATTATTTTAGAAGGCAAAAGAAAGCCCCTGGGAAACATTTCTAGTGAGATCATTTTGGTCCTTTTACATAGAATTCACAAACTGATAATTATACTTCTGTGCCATAGTTTTAAGAGTGAAGAGGAAAGTACCTCCAGAAGGAGTATTCCTAGATTTTTTCCCACATGAACAATAAATTAGAGATGTTTCTTTCTTTAGAACATACTTAAAAGTCCAGTTTTTCAAATGTTTAATTTCTCCCATAGTGTGTATTCTGTTAAGACACACATATACATCTGTATAAATTTAACATGCTCTTATGTAAAAATGTATATTCAGGAACATCCATTGTTGGATACCAAATATTCCTAAATTCTACTACTGTAACC